AAAAATCACACTGTCATCTGAGAGACTGCCAGAGAAAAAAGGGGGTGGGGTGTGGACAGAGAGAACACCCCGAGTTTGGAAATAAGTTATTAAAGCTAATGTGTCTCTGAAAAACGTTTCTAAGTTCCCCAGGTTTGCAGGAACAGGAGAACTAAAGGGCTGAGTTTCAAGTTATCTTATGTATTGTCACTCTGCACACATAAACTCACAGCCTGGATTTAGATCCAAGAGAAAAAAGTGATAGAAAACTGAGAGCGTGCAACTCAATGCTTAAAAACAAAATTGATGATTTGCTGAAGTGTGAACATTTTGATTCAATAGGGAAAAAAGGAAATTATTAGGTATCAGAAATGATTTGCAGGGCACACTTATCGAGTGGCTGATGAGTGCAGAACCTCTGCTCTCAAGAAGTTCACGGTCTATATGGATTAAGGAAGCATGGAAAGAATTAATAACAAAATAAACATTTGCCAGTCAAAGTCAGGCCATAGGAATAAAGACATTTTAAAAGTAAAAACTAGTGTTATGGGATTTTAGGACAAAGTAAAAGTTAGATCCATCAGGGAAGGTTTTGCTGAATTTGGCATTTATACATTTGGTCAGCAAGAACTATGTCTTATTTCTAGCATCTAGAACATGTTGGCGTAGTGTGTGGGGGCTTATTTTATGAATGAATGAGTGAATGAATGACCTCAGATTAGGAAAGCAGGCAGGTTCCTCTGTTTTCAGCGTTCCTTTTAGACGCACTTCCCAGCAGAAGCTGATGATTATCAGAGTCACAAGCCCTCCCCGTATTCGCCAAGACATCAGTCTTGGTGAGGCTTCTTTGCCAGGACAAATCAACAGTAGCAGTTACGCTGCTTATAGCCATGTGACCCTGAGCAAGTCCCTGCATCTCTTAAGCGATTGTGCCATCACGTCAAGCAACACCTGCTTCGTGGGCTGTGGGAATGCCAAAGGAGACAATGGAGGCACAGCTGCTCGCCAAGTGCTGAATGGAACTTGCTTTTGTCCAACTCATTCTAATTTGCATAGAAGAAAATTGCACATTTACCTGCCCCAAAAGCAGGTAATTTTTTAATTAAAAAAAGAACCCCTCTGTTTGGTCTTTCTGTTTCTAACTGAAAAAAATAATTTGTTCATAAATAAAAGAGATTTTCTGGGGAAACATGCACTCGCGTGGGGAGCCAGGAGAACTGCTGCAGAAGGACTGTGGCCTCTCGCTGAGGAGGGGCTCTTGCCCCCCACCCCAGCATGCCAGATGCCAGGTGCCCTGCCCCCAGTCGCCACAGCGACACCAGGGCAGATGGGGTTAAACCGTGCGGTGAATGGTGAACAGAATCTCTCTGGCATCTGCCCCACAAGCCACAGCACCCTGCAAGCTGCAGCTCTCCCCACCTTCTGCTCTGCTGGAAGCAGGCCATTCAGGCGGCTCGTTGCAGTGTCTGAGCTTATCAGGGACAGATTTCAGTGGAGAGGCCCCAAACGGGACTGTACAAAGTCCAGGTAATTGGTCACGCACACATCTCTCTCCTCCATGGACTCCACCACCAAGCCTGTTTGTTCCCCCATGAAGCTGGGGGACCTAGAAATTCTGCAGCAACAAAAGAGACAATGTTGCCTTGAGGGGACCAAGAGAGTTTCATTTCCAGGGAGCTCTGCCAGCTGCAGCACCGGGCTGCCCTTGGCCTTGCAGATGCAGACAGGAAGCCTGGAGGTGTCTGGTGGGCAGGCAGACTTGAGAGGGTCTATCTGAGATAGTCTGAGGAATACACACACCCCTGTCCCCAGCTCCTCTTCTGGAAGCTCCTGGGCAACACGAAAACCAGATGGTGGGGAAAAAAAGAAAAACAAAGACCAAAACAAAACTCTACTTAAAAATGCAAATACCCAATCAAGTGAACAAACATCCTTCAGTTATTTGGGGTGGAGGTGAAACAAAACACTTTTTATTGGGCCAGAAAAGCATCGGTTAGTGAGGCACTCAGTGGAGAGATAGTGAGGGTGGTAGATAAAATTCAGCTTGTGGCTCCACCTTTACTATGTCAGTGATGTCGGTCTTAAGCATCTTCTCACAGTGCCAGCTCATGAGGTGGTGCTGAGGGCTGGATGAGAGAATGCGTGGCAAACCCTTGGCAAGGTCGGGGCACACAGTAAACAGTGCGATGATTAGTAATACCGAATCCTATAAAATCCTGCAAGGTCAGTGTATCATTTTGGGGTCCTCTGGGAAACAGGACCAGCAAGTTGTTCTGTTTCGCACACACTCTCCCCCAGAGCGAGGGGGAGAGTTTCCCAGACAGTGCAGAGAAGCAGAAGCTTCAGGCAGGCGTGGCTGGAGGCTGCAGGGCCGGTGAGTCTGACTGGAGGCCGGGCAGCGTGGGCAGGACTTTGTATTTCCTTCTATAGGAGATGGGATGTGACAGGGGAGTTTTAAGCCAGGAATGATGTTATCTGGTCACTCACTTTCTGGGGGGCTGGGAGGTCAGACCCTTTCCATTTCATCACTCTGCCCTTGAATGGAAAATGAGCTCTTAACAAATAAATCCTTGAAACAGGATTACATTTAATGTCTAAATATTAAATGAGGACAGCTCTTCCCACCCCAATGGAACATTCTTCTGCTTCCTGCCTCCCACTGGTCCCTGAAGGCCCATGTGGCACCCAGGGCCTGGAGCTTCCAGGATGCCCTCCATCCTTGACTGCCCGCCCTTTACGGGCTGGGGCTGGGCACTGTGCCACAGTGGCCAATAAGGCTGCTGGCCTAGACCAAATGACACAGGCACAAGACAGAAGTGGCTAGACCTTCTGCTGAGGAACAACCTGAGAGCTAAAATTAATACAACTTTTAAAACATAGAAATAAACATGAATGAAGAGGGCTCTGTGCCTGGGGGATACAAACCTACAGGTCAGACTGATTTAACCAACCATTGGTCTCTCCACTAATACCCCTGACACTGAAGTCAGGCTGCGGAAATATAAGATGAATGTGTGTGAAGGAGAAATAGAGGCAACCCAAGAGTTTAAGAGTTCACCGGGGGCAGAGGGGAACCCTTCAATATCTGTAGGAAGGCGTTGCATTCAGCCCTTCAAACCCAGGATTATTGTGGTGGAAAGATTCAACACCAAAACGAGAACATATTTGAGAATGATAGGATTCAAGTTCAAAGAGGCTATCATGCACTGTGGAAATGAGTTTGCAAATGAGCGGAAAATCGAAAATAGGAATTTAATGGACAGTTGAAACGGGAGTTCCAGCTTTGAAAGAGGGTGAAAAACAGGAAGCCTGCTGATTAGAAGGAGCCCCTGGAGCCCCCCAGGCAAACCCGGCGCCTGTCAGCACACGCCTGCAGCCTCGGAAGGGGACCAGCCGATGGTGTAGACAGTGCCCTGCGTGCTGGGCATTATTCTGAGCACGTTCATGCATGTTTTCGCTGAATCCTCAAAACCACGTTTGAGGTTGTCTGTCTCCAATTTATAGACAAGAAACCTGAAGCACAGATCGTGCCTGTCCAAGGCCCACTCTTGTTCAAGGTGGCCTCGCTAAGGGGTAGGACTAACTGACCAACGGCTGAGGGTCAATTGCATGGATCAGAGACTGACAGGTGAGGGGAAGAGCAGGATTCCTGGAGCAAGAAAGACCTGAGGTGCTTGCACACCTGTGGCTGCCTCCTTCCTTCCATCCCAAGAGCCAGCAAGCCTTCGCTGCCGTCACCCTCCCACTGCGCTTTGGGTCCCGTGCACTTCGGTCTCTTCCAGAGCCACCATGTCCCTGATTATTGACCCCTTTTCTTCTCCGTCCTTAACCCCTTCTGTGGCTGGCTCTCTCTCAGTAATCTGTGAAGGGGTCCGGTGTCCCCCACCTTCAACGTCCCCCAGCGTCCTGTGCCCTGTCTCTCCTGAAACTGGTGTCGGCCCTCGGCCCCACCCCAAGGCCGCTCCTTCTCACCTTGTTCTCCATCTCAGTCAGTGGTATCAGTATCCGTCTGAGTGGCCAGGCCAGAAACCTCATCGTTCCTGATTCCTCCCTCTCTGCCACTTAGTCATCCAGCTCATCGCTGAGTCTTGTGGATGAGACCCCGCACACATCTCTCAAATTCCTCCACTTCCCTCCGCGGTCACCACTTTCAGCTGTCATCATTTTGGGGCAGCTCACTGCTGTCTGGACTACTCTCCCTTCTTCTAGTTTTGCCAGCCTCCCCGACCTGCCATTCATCTGTTCTCTGCACAGCAGCAAGAGTGGACCTTATAGATACAATGCTGACCCTGCCACTCCCCTGCTTAAAACCCGGTCCTGCCTCTGCACTGCTCCCAACTTAAAGACTAAACATACTGTGGGACATGGACCTTTGGTCAGAGGTGACCTCATGATCCTGGTCCCCTCCCCAGACTCCGGGTACTCTCCTCCCAGAATTCTCTTCCCCGTCACCACCCAGCCAGGGCAATCCTCCTTACCCTTACAAAATTGACTTGGCCCAGAAAGTCTCCTCTGACCTCTGCTGTGTGCTGAGACCCAGTGCTCACCCCTGGTGACATTTATCCCACCATATTTAGTTGTTGATTTGTCTGCACCCTAACTGAAGCATTGCTCCTGATCCTTGAGGACAGGGACTAAATTATCTGTACTTACTCTTTTAATGATAGTGACTCTCAGGAAAAGCTCAATAAACACGTGCTGAGTGAATGAGTGACCAGCAAGGACATAAGGACATAGGAGTAACCACGAGCTTCTCAGAAGGACTTGAGAGTTCAGAGTTCAAAATGTCTTTGTCGTTAGGAGCCAGGTTGGCAGCAGAGCGGGACTGAAGGGTCCAGAGGGAGCCCCTGGGAGCTCACACTGGCTGAATACCTGCTGTGCTAGGTACTTGCCAGTAACTGTTTTCTGTTCATTCTCATAGTAATCCTATGAGGATGTCCCTATTTGACAGATGAGGCTCGGAGATGTGAAATAATTTGCTGAAAGTCACACAGTGGTGATGCTAAGATTCAAGCCCTTACCTTAGGCACGTTTCTCTGTGTTACACTTTTGTACCATTTCCTTCTGCAGGTACTGAGATCACTCGGCTCACCCAGCGTCTTTCCAAAGTTGCCCATGACTCCAGATGCAGAGATAAAACTAGGAAACAATTTGTAAGAAAAGCAAATGTCTTACTATATCTGCCAGTCTTATGCTTAAGAAGTCTGGGAATCTTAGCCTAGCATCCAGATTAACTTAGATTCTGTAACCTTGGAGTCTGAGTGCAGGACAGGACCTTAGAAATCATGTAGCCTGGTTCCCTCCCTTGACACATGAAGGAGCCAGTGACCTTGCCAAGGCCGGTCAACGAGGGCAGAGGCAGGGCCGAAACACTGGGTGTCCCGAGCCTCTGATCAGTTCATGCGTGCGCTGCCATTCTGGTGCTTGGTTTGGCTTATTTGAACCTCAGTAAAATGGCCCTTTCAAAATGTTGAACTGCATCTCGCCTTGTCCAGGAAATAATCTCAGCTTCCTTGATGGCTAGACGTCCTTACGACAGTGGGCCTGGGCCTGCTGGGACCGGGAAGTTCGTGGGATCCAGTGAGCTCGGGCTGAAATGAGGTTTAGGTGGTGAGAGAGGCCTGGGGAGGAGCTGGTTGCAACTCTTTCCCAGAAGGGCTTTCCTCTCACAAATGTCAGGGAAAACATGAGGAGTCTCAGTTTCATTTAACACACACCAGGCAGGGCTTAGTGAAACAAAGGGTTGCCAGTTCAATTCCCAGTCAGGGCACATACCTGGGTTGTGGGCCAGGTCTCCAGTAGGGGGCGTGTGAAAGGCAACCACATATTGATGCTTCTCTCCCTCTCTTCTCTTGTCTCTCTCTTCTAAGGAAATAAATAAATAAAATCTTTAAAAGAAAACACATGCCAGATAGCAAGAACTGGAGAAATTGTCCTCAAGGGCTGACAATCCAGGAAGGCAGCTTGCCTTGGAGAGTCAGTGCAGGTTCTGGAGGAACTGGCTCCCTGCCGGACTTTGAGTAGAAGATGGCAGAGGAAGCGGCATCTCAGAGAGAGGTCCAAGCCAGAGCCAGAGGGGAGGGGCTGGGAGAGACGAGAGTGTCAGTGAGAGCAGAGCTTCTCCGAGCGTGGTTTGTGGATGAGCATTACCTGGGACGAGCATGTCTGGATGAGATGCCAGATACACTGAATCCGAGCTGCCGAGGGTGGGCCCAGCAACTGCTTTAACCAGACCCCCCAGTGAATCTGATGTACCGTAAAGCCACTGAATGAGATCATTCCTAATTGGAAGCTCACAGCGCCCTTGCCCCATGGTAACACTCAGGGACAGCAGGGACGGGTGCAGACACAGAGTGGGTACCTGCACTCTGGTTCCCTTCCGAAATGCCTCTTGGGCCCTGGTCCTTCTTGACTTCACCAAGCATCACATTCGGCACATGCCTACCACGCCAGAGCCCTGCCAGGGTTCCGCCTGGGCCTCTCACCTTCATTGGTCCCTAATGACACAAACGTCACTCTCTCCTATGGACCTTCCTGACCACCTTGTTTGAAACTGTCCTACCCCTGCTCCAGGCACTCCCTCTGCACCGGCCTGGCTTCGCTTTTCTCTATCACATTAATCACCTGTCCTGTGTTTTCCTTTTTAGTTTGCTTCTTGTTAGTCCTCTCAACCTCCAACAGAAGGCGAAGTTCATGGGGCAAAGGCTCATGTTGTGTTTATTTCGCTGCTGAGTTCTCCATGTTTGGATAGAGCCCTGCACATGAGGTGCCTGATTTGTCCAGTGAATGAGTGGTTCATACCATGTGACTCTGCACGTGTGGCTTTGGTTACAATCGATTAGGCCAGGAATGGGCCCCTAACCCCGTGGCAGCCTCCCGCTGCTTGGGCAGTGGCCTACAAGGGGGTCCGACATGAGAGCTTTGTCATGGTCACAGGCCGAACCCACTGGGCCCATTGTTGAGGAGGTTGTGGGACACGGAGAGGGGACCTGAGAGGAGAGTGGCATTAAAGAAAGGGGCCACAGAGAAGAGGCAGCAAGAGCTGGAGGCAGAGAGAACAAGTCAGCAGGAAAAGAAAGGAAGTGGAGATAGAGAAAAGCCGAGTCATCGTAATGGAGGAGAGACTCCAGCCTGATCCTGGAGAATGAGTGGACGCTGCAGCTGCAGTACGAGAGCTGCTGGGAGCCTCCAGAGCTGCTCTTCTCTCTCCAACGACGTCCCAGGTACCCAGGAGACCCTGCTCTGAGGCCGAGTCCTGCCCCCTTAGTTCTTTTGCACATCTTAGCTTGCCATCAGCCAAGATGATGAATGGGAGGGCTCTCTGCTCCTTCAACAAAGGCGCCAGACAACACGAACCTGAGTGGCAGCCTAGCCCCTTGCCTCTGCAGGGCCCCCGGGGACTGGCCCGGGCTGGCCCTTTCTCCTGAGGAGAAGGCGCCTGCACTGGGGGAAAAATGCTAAGGGTGGCACTGGGGTAGTTGTCCTCACCCTTCCCAGGCAGCGATGGTCAGGTAAGGTGCTCCCTTTAAAATGTGGCAATACTTATGGAAGCCGCTGCAACATCCACTTTAAATGCACCCTTTCCCATTACCACTGTGTGGGGAAAAGGTCAGAAAGAGCCCTGCTGCTTCGTCAAGTCAGCAAACAAAATCCCATGTTTGCTGTTCCGGGACGGCCCTGGAGTGGCTCCTCTGAGATGTGCTGGGGGCAAGGTGGGAAGTCAGAGGTGAATGGTGTGCAGGTGGAGGCCTGTCACTCTGCCCCCTCCCCTTGCTTGTTACTTGACCCACACAGGCCCTGGCCCCTCCTGGCCTGCCTGCCAGACACCACTGGACTATCCTGAGTCCTTTCCCAAGGCTGGATCTGGACAGTGTCCCATTGCTCCAGATAGATCGGTTTTTCTAGAGTGTTGCAACTGTAAACCATTTTATTTTTATTTTGCTCCATGCTGAGATTGCTGGGATGCGTACGGTTTTCTTAAATGAAAACCATGCTGTGCAGATAGCATGATAACAAAAGTTCATCCATTCCATGAATAATCATGTTCCACTGAACTTCAGGAACTAAACCAGATATTGAGGAAGAAGCAGTGACAAGAAAATTCGTGCCCTTACTGAGTTTCAGTCAACAGGAAAGACAGATATTAAACACGTGATTATAAATTACTTTGAAAGAAGTCCAAGGTACCACTGGAGCTTATCACAGGGACACTAGGTTGGGAGTCTGAGCAAACATCTCCGAGGAATGTGGAAGGTACTTTAGCTGGTCGGGAAGGTGTGGAAAGAATTTAAGGCAGAGGAAATGACATAGTTGTCAGTCCAGGGAGAAACAGAGATAGGGAAGGGAGGGGCGGGAGAGAGAGCAAGGTGTTTGAAGAAAATATCAAAGTCTAGTATGGCTGAACAAAGTCTATATGGAACCACTGAGAGACACCAAATACATTTTAAAGGAAAATAAAATAGCCTTTGCTTTTTCACACCCACCAAAATCTGTCATTTGATAAATAATGACATTTTCTTTCCCTAGCTCTGCATGACAATGTTTCTACCAGTTCATAAGCAGATAGACAAGCAATCATACTCTGAGTGTCTTTCACATCCACAGGTGATGCATAAGTTGGCCACGCAGCTCGTCACTCTGGCCAAGTTGACGGGTCCAGTGGCACCTGCTCTCTGAGGAGCCAATCTATAGGCCCCGAAATGACCTGCTACAAAAGCCTTGTGAAACAGGGGTAGCCTATGCTACGTGGTGATGGGTGAATTGAAAAGCATGTCTCCCTTCGGGCATTTGAATTCGAGGCATCAGAGTCAGTTAATAGCAGCAGGGACAGGAGAAACAGTCAGAGTCGCCCAGGGTAATGGTGAAACCCTTAAGTGCGAAGCCCCAAAAACCCACTGCTGAGGGTCTTCCATTCCCCAGAGCACAGCTCCATCTCTCTGCGTCCTGGGTGCGGGGCCGAGGGCCCTGCCTTCCTGTCTCTCCATGAACCCCTGCAACCACCTCGCTCACCCACGGGACTCTCCTTCTCACCACAGGAACCCAGACTCCACAGAGTGCGCTGCGTCACATACGCGACACGCTGGCCGCCTTCTCACTTTTCCACCAGTTGTTTAAGCCACAGCCTTACATCCGTTTTTCTGGCTTTGCTCATTTCCCACTAGTTAAGAAAATTTACTTATGTTTTTAGTATTGAAAATAACTCAAACAATTCAATAGCAAAAAAAATATCTGATTAAAAAACAAGCAGAGGGTCTGAATAGACATTTTTCCAGAGAAGATACAGATAGCCAACAGGTACATGAGAACCACTGTTCACCAGGGAAATGCAACTCAAAACCACCAAGAGGTATCGCCTCGCATCTGTCAGAGTGGCACCATCAACAAGGTAAGAACAAGGGTCGGTAAGGATGTGGAGAAAAGGCAAGGGCACTATTGGTGGGGATGTAAGTTGGTGCAGCCATTAGGGAAAACAGTATGGAGTTTCCTCAGAAAGTTTCCAGTAGTACTACCATGTTATCTAGCAATCCCACCCCTAGGTGTTTGTCCACAGGAAACCGAAACATTAACTAAAAAAAAAAATTCTCTGCACTCCCATGTCCACTGCAGCGTTATTTACAATGGCCAAGGCACGAAAACCACCTTGTGTCCTTTGTTGGGCAAGTGGATAAAGAAAACGTGCGCACACACACACACACACACACCCACACACACACACACACACACACCCAGTATTACTCAGGCATCAAAAGGAGGAAACCTCGCATTCTCAACAGCATGGATGAGCCTTGAGGGTATTGTGCTAAGTGCAAAAAGTCAGACAGAGAAAAGCAAATACTATACGATCTCCATTATATGTAGAATCTAACAAGAGAAAAAGTGAACTCACAGATACAGAGAACAGACTGGTGGTTGCCAGAGGCAGGGGGTGGGGCTTGGGCAAAATGGGTGAAGGAGGTTAACTGTAAAATAAACAGGTAATGGAGATATAATGTGCAGCATGGCAACTGTCCTTAGTAATACTGGATTGCACAGTGGGAAGTTGCTAAGAGAGTAGATATTATAAGTTGTCATCACAAGAAAAATATTGGAAACTGTGTGGTGACGGATGTTAACCAGATTTATTGTGATGCTTATTTCACAGTATGTACATAGATCAAATCATGTTGTGCACCTGAAACTAATATAATGTTATATGTCAGTTACATTTCAATTTTTCAAAAGTGGAATAGTACCATGAGAAAAAGACAACTCAGTGGTTGAACAGGTATAATGTGTTCAATAATGATAAAAATGCGGTGTTTGAAAGATTCTGGTGAGTGTATTCACTCCTTGTTTCTTTGAGATGCAGGATCTCCTGGGCCTGGCTTTGGCCCTCATCAGCGTTCCTGGTCGCTGAGACAGGAAGGTCAGCCTGATGGTCAACTGCACACGGAGTGCCAGCTCTGTGCCCCCCATAACATTCAGTACCAGATGGAGGGAGGAAGGGTACTTACACTGCTTAGGACTCACTCTTTGCAGGCAAAATATCACTTGTCCTTAGGACACCCCTAAGAGGGAAATACGATTGCCCTCTTTTTACAGCCGGTAGGAGACAGGATTAGCATCTAAACCCAGGTCAGTCTCTCATTTCCCTGATCACTTTTACCGTACTCTGCTGCCTCATTCATTCGTTTAAATACATAGTGTATGATTCCTACCATGTGGGGGGTATATGACTTTAAAGTTGGCATTGTTCTCATGGGGTTTGCAGTTGAGGGGGAGGCGTCAGGCCAGCACATTAATGGGGACAAAACTGAGTGACTAGTACTGTTCCAGGGATGTGTGAGAGCTCGGAGGAGGAGCAGCTAACTCAGATTTCAGGGACTGCCTGGTGGTGGCCAAGGATAATTTCTTAGAAAAGATTACCCTTGACCTGAGTTTGAAGGACTACTTGGAATTAAGCAGATAAAGGAGCAGAGGAAAGGCTTTTTAGGCCCAGGGAACAACAGAACAGCACCAGGCTGAGACGGCATTGCCGGGCCCGGGAATCGCGAGTGTGCTTTTCTCACCAGGACTAAAGTAACCACGAATATTGCATGGGGTTGGGTAGAAATACAGGACACCCAGTTAATCTGAATTTCAGATAAACAATAGATAATTTTTGAGAATAAGTATCTGCACATTTAAATGGTGTCTATATTTTTATTTGCTAATTCTAGCAGCCCTCATGTAGGGAGTAGCAGAAAAATACGGCGGAGGAGGTAGGCAGAGGCCAGCCTCGGAGAGTTTGTGCTCTCGACAAAGGACTTAAACTTTACCCTGAGGCCATCAAGTACCATTTGGGAGCTTAAAACAGAGTTGTGTAAAGAGCAGACTTGTGTTTTAGAAAAACACAGAGAACAAATTGGAATGGGCCAAGTAGGAGGCAGGAAACCGGCTGGAAGGTGAAGAAACTTGCTAATTCTGTCCTCAACTCCATTTCTTCTTCTTCCCTAGTAAGAACGTTCCAGCTTCCCAGCTCAACAGTTAACTGCTTACTTACTTACCAAAGACAGCCTTCGGTCTTCCTGACCAACTTCTCGTGGCTTTAATTAGCATCGCACTCAGCTGAAAGGGACAGAAAACTCCATCATCATTTGGAGATCAAGCTCCCTCCATCCTCTTGCTCTGCCCTTCCCAGGCTGGCGGCCACCCCACGGTCTGAAATGACCGCTTGAGGTCCAGCTGTGATGTACACATTCCAGGCAGCCTGACCTTTCTGGGAGTTATACTTGACACTTCTACTTACATCCCCTTGGCTAGAAGTTAGACATATGGTTATTTCTGCCTACAAGGGAAGTTGGGAAATGCAGTATTTATTTTATGGCTATGTATCTAGCTAAAAACAGGGTGTCTATTACTAAAAAAAATAAAAAAGGAGAAGAAGAAAACAGAACCAGGGGCCCCTAGAAGCAGCAGTTAGTATCCTCAGGAGTTAAATGATGTAAATATAGGAAGAAATGCTTTTTAAAATTATGCTATAATAATAATGACTTTCCTAAAAAGGTCAAACAGGCCTCATTTATCACTCTAGGGCACGACCGTGTCACTGGTCAGAATGAGAGCAATTTCCCAAGGAGAGGCGATGCTTAGCTGGAGACAGAGAGGATGGATTTTCAGAGCAGAGGTGGGGCCCGTGTCTAGCCTGGTTAGCGTCAGTGATCAGACGGGAGAAACTCTGTCACCCCTGGTGCAGTTCCCAGCACCAGCGGCTCAGGTCACCTGCTTCTTATCTCTTGGAATCAAGACAAATCATGAGTTTTGATGCCTTGAAACTTGAGCTTTGGGGAATTTGAAGGAGCCTGTATTTAAAACCAGATGCGCATGTTTGGGTCACGAGGCCTATTTGTGCAGAGGACAAAGTGGACCACCCCTGCTTAGTCCCTGTGCCCTCACTTCACATGCTGAGCTAACGCTGGGTATTCCACAGGGTACGTTTGACTCCACTGGAAGTAAAGATAGGTGGTCAGAAATAGAATTATGCCTTCGGTTACTAGTGAAAAGTGGCTTTTAAAGGAACCTTACTTTTTCCCAGATTAAACTATAATTTGAAAACTGATTCATTCATTTGTTTTTCATTCTAGGTCAAGCATCACTTGGATGTCTCTGAGCACTCAGCAGGTGTACAGAGATAACTTTTGAAAGCTTGCTCAGTTCTGATAGATTTGCAGGTGTCCACGGTTCCTGGGGACACTCTGAGTTCCTTGGCTTTTTATTCAGATGGGAAGGCAGTGTGGGAGGAAGAGCGCTGAGTTGGGGGACCTGAGTTCAAGTCGGCCCCCATGTGATCTTCCTCGGGTCTCCCAGCCCTTTTGGGGCCCAGCTTCCTTAACTGGATGATTTATGGTTGAGTTAGATAAGGGGTCTCAAGTCAGATTCCTCAAGTGGCCAGGCATGTAACATAAATAGGTGTAGTAGACCTGGCTCAAGAAAAATAGAGGCGGAAGCCCCTGGCTTCTCTCTTAACTCGGGTTTAAGAAGAATAACAATGTCCCCAACACTCAACTTCTCATCCAGAGAAGCCCCAGGGAGCAGTGGGGACCAGGGTACCCTGAAGAGGACCGGCCCCCTCCAGGCGGGGCTGCTGTGGCTTATCTTCAGTTACAAATGTGGGCTAAGTGCTGCCAGGTCTTCTCAGTTTTCAAGAGAATTGAGAAATGTGGATCGTTTTTCTTAAGGGAAGTGTTCTGATCTTGTATAAGCTGAACCCAAGCAAGCCTGGTGTCCAGGGCCCCCCGTTTGTGATCTCTGGCTTACACTGCAGTTTCTGCAGCAGGGATTCTAAAGTGGGGATCTCTGGGCCCACCAAGAGCTTTGGCCAGTCCAAGCCTCCAGCAATCACATGCTAAATTTTGTAAGTACATTTTTGGGATGAGAGGACTCAAGTGTCATGAGGGTAAAGAACCCATGACCAGCGGACTTTTAGGATTCACCAGTTAGCCGAGCACAGGTTTCCAGCACCTGCTTTTCAGAATGGCAGCCCACAAATGGTGACGTCACCAGACACCTGGCGTTCACTCACTCATTTGTTGAACACTTGCTACATCTGAGGCGCCAGGAATAGAGAAGCAAATAAAGGAGACAAAGTACTTGGTTTCATGAAATGCATGTTTTGGTGGAGGGACACAGATAATATCTATAAAAGAAAAAATGTACATGTGATGTCAGGTGGTGAGGAGGACGATGTGAGTCAGGAGGAAAAAAAGTGACAGGTAGGGTGGAGGGGCAATTTAAAGGCCTCTGTCAACATTCTACCTGTGCAGAGGCTCAGGTGAGAAAGAGAGCCATGCGATCATCTGGAAAGAGCATTTCCCGAGAGGCCGAAGTCAAGACCAAGGCCTGAGGCAGGTGCATAAAATGGTCTGTTTGTGGGGCCGCAGGGTTAAGGTTAAGGTAATGTACTTACTAGTGGGGTTGAAGGAAGGCTTCAAGATTTTTTTTACAAGGCAAAGAATTCTTCCAAATTGTTTGCAACAACATTATCTTTTTATATGGGTTTGCCCAGCTGAGAAGCAGATCTGAGGAAAGGGGCGCCCACTCACCGCTGACTGGTGTCGTAAACTGGCTCTGTCTTTCCTGAACACTGTCTAGTAAACTTAACAAGAGTTTTAAAACTGCTCACACCCGCTGACGTGGTTGCTTCACTTTGTGGAATACTTCTACAAGGCTAAAGGGGGAAAAAGTTAAAACCATTACCAAAATGCTTTTAGCAAGGTCTTGTAGCTTTGTACAATACACGTGAAAAATTTAAAACAATCCTAATCCTTAAATTGGAGTGAATGTAATTTTAAAAATACTATTTCAACATGCTTAGATTCTTAACCACTGTTAAAATGACCCATGGTGACAATATTAGTGAGGGGAAATGTCGTACATGAAAAATTAAAGCAAAAACCCAGGATCCAGACCTGTGTATTTATGCTGATCAAAATGATAGAAAAGCTATTGTTGAACATTAACAAAGGCTAAAAGAGAATTTCAAGGGGTCCAAAAAAAGAAAAAAACTTGTCCAGTCACCTCTCCTTTTGGATGGAGTTGCTGATGTTCATAATGGATTTTTAACTTTTTTCTGTTGTTGGGTTACATGTCAGATTTTTAAAAACATTTTTATTAAATTTACTCAGGCAGCACTGGTTAATTACATAGGTTTCAAGTGTACATCTCACTATGATACGTCATTTGTATATAGCATTGTGTTTACCACCCGAAGTCAAACTTTCTGGGCCCATATGTCTGACCCTCTTTGTCCTTTTCTACCTCCCCCCACCCCCTCTGGTACCCACCACACTATTGTCTGTGCCTATCAGTTCTTGTTTGTCTTTCTTCTCCATTTGTTGCTTTCAGTCTTATATTCCTCATATGAGTAAAATCATATGACTCTTGGTACGTCAGATTCTTCAAAACTGCCATTCACCACCTGTGAAGCACCGCTCCTCACTGGTGTCACTGAGTGGGACGGAGCTCTTCCGCAGACACTGAGGTCACTGTGCAACAGTGAGAAACATGTGAGTGGAGTCCCCAGGGGCGTGGTCTGACCTGGCACCCCGCTGGAGCCATGAAACAGCAAGATGTCCTTTGTCGTGGTTTTAGTACCTGCACTACAGACAGATTCACTGGCTGGGACAACACTAACAGCAGCTCAAGTGAGGCAGCTGGAACTGTAAGCCGCCTGTGGTTTCAACTGTGGCGAGGTGGGACACTTCCCACACCCTGCCCGATGCAGCCCCACCTAATTTTGTCGTTGTTTCTTTGAGGGAAGAGGGGGTGCCTGGGCTTATACATTCCACAGCAAAACACTGTCTAGCCCAGACTGAGCTTTGAGACATAGTCTTGTAACTCAGGTCAATGGGCATTTCTTCAGAGAGGGCTTCCCAGGACATGAAATCTAAAGTAGCTCCCACAGTGCTGCTTTGCCTTCTGTGCTGTCCTTCAGACCATCACACAGAGGCTTGTGAATTTGTTTACTTGTCGATTGTCTCTTTCCCCATTATTGTGTAGGCTCCTGGAGTGTGGGAACTACTGTGTCTGTCTTATTTCCTATTGGCGTCTACAGTGATTTCTGGTGCACAGTGGTTCCTTGGTATTTACTTATTTTTAGTGAATTAATAAACAAACTTGCAACAATCAGCAATTCAGGAGCTCTGGACCACCCTGGCTCATCTGGATGCGAATGAAGGATTTCACACTGGAGAATGAAACAGCAGAGGTGCTGGTGGGATTGTTAGGACCTCAGCAGGGGTGTCTCAGGCCCCAGGGAAAGGGCTGTTCTGGGGAAGGAGCGAACCTGCTCCCCGTCCCCTCCTGGGGGAATTCCCTATTGCCCCGCATCCCTGCTCTTCCTTCTCCCCGAGGCTAGACGGCACGTCGGACAGGCAGAAAACCTCTCTGTTTACTTTTCCCCAGCAGCTGCAGGGCCCTTAGAGAGGAGAACTGAGTGCCTGGAGGGTGGGATGGGGGAAGTGGCCACTCAGGACATGCAGATTTGTGGTCGTTTAGTTCTTGCATCATTTTAAACAAACAGCTCACAAAATAGCTCCAGACAAAGAAGATAACACATGTCCTTCCTTCATTCCCCAGAACTGGAGTTCAGTATCTGAATGTCAATGGGAAGTGACACCATTATCCACTGGAAGCTGATTTCCCATGGGCGGGTGTGGAGGGGCTGTCCTAGGAGCACGTGCTGCAGACGGTGCAGCCCCTCCTGCAGTTACTGCTCTGGAAGGTCTGACACAAGGTTTCACACTGTGTGAAGGTGAAAAAATGTAGCGATGGACATGAAGGCAACAAATCCGTCTCTTCCTGTGTGTTTCAACGATCTTTTTTTCTAGTCAGTCGTTTTCCGACCCTTTAAACTAAATTGCTGAAAATGTGCTTGTCTCTGGTGGTGGTTGCTCTCACCTTTACTGGAAGCATACTACCGTATTTTTCAGACTATAAGATGCAATCCCCCCCCCCCACGATTTGGGAGGAAAAATAGTTGTTAATGCTGCTGTCGAGTTCTGTTTACATTTACATTGGTGCAATATTATGGTATTTATGTAATTAATTATTTTACCACATTTTTTGCTTCAAAAATTTTTTCCTATTTTCCTCTAAAGCCTAGGTGCATCTTATGGTCCAAAAAATACGGTAGGTACCTGGCACTCTTCTAAGTGCTTTACATTAACACAACAATTCAAAAGGGTGTCACTACTTCTCTATTGACGAAAACAATTG